GTCCCGCTTAATAATATAATTAAAAAATTATTTTTATATATATAAACCAAAATTATAAATATTTATATGTAAAAATTTATATTATTTTATTTTTCTTTTATTTTTTTTAAATTGTTCATATTTATTTAAAAGAAAAAAAGAAGAAAAAAAAATAAAAGTGGGGGCGGGGGCGGGGAGGGGAAACCCGAACCCTACCGGGAGTGGGGATGGGGACCTAGATTTTATCCCTGGCGAGTATCGGGGGCGGGGACGAGGGCGGTTTAAATTTGCGGGGGCGGGGGCGGGGGACGTAAAAACCGCCCCCGCCCCGCCCCTTTGCCATGCCTACCTAGGAGGGCATTGATCAAATACGAGCATTTTGGACAAGATTTGTTTTAGATTATTTTTTATTTTAGTTTATAGTATATTCAAGTAGTTTAGAATTCATTTGGATACTTTAAACCTTATTTAGTTTAAAATTCATTTGGGTAATTTAGCAATCATTCTGGTAGCTTTAGGATGTATTTAGTTAGTTTTTAACTTAATTGGTTAGTTTAGGATACATGTAATTTAGATTGTTATTTTATGATGTAAATGATGTTCTAAAATTAATATTATGGTAACATTTTCATCATTGATTATAAATTATGTTTCCTATGATTGATTTTAATGTTTATAGGTTTGGGATAGTAAAAATATGAACCTAATTTTTGTTAAAAAAATACACATAACATTCTACATCAATTGTACTATTTTTTTTTATTAGTGGGAAATTAAAAACAGAACTAAGAAAAACTATTGTATGCACAATTGTATTATAATCGAGATAGAAAGTAATTTTCTACATTAACTCATAGATTGGTGTTAAGATGTTTCTCTTTTTCTATCTGTCAAAACAATATTAGTTCTACAGTAATTCACAGTAAATACAAAAAAAGGAAAAAGGAAAAAAAAAAGGCTTTAAGTGATATAAAATGATCTCTCTACCACAATGTACGCACAATTAACCACCAACACCCAATTCTTGATATATGGATTGAAGAAATACAATGTTTAGGGATACTTCACCACAAAGACAATGTCTAGGGTTTACTTAGCAAGCCACGTTACCGCATTCTTGAATAGAGTCACGTGATATTTCATGATAGGGATCAAGTTGCATTTACAATTACTCTTCTAAGGACCAAACGTGTAGTTTTAAATTGCAAGGACTAAAAGATAAAAATAAAATTAGTATAAAGGACAAATAAATAGTTTAACATTTTAAAAATCATTTTATAATAAGTTCTAACTCATTTCACCATTCTATTCTTCTATAAAATGACAATTATGTGTATGCACTAGTTTTTCCTTACCAAATTAAAAGAAATAGGGCCATCGTGGGACTTTGTTCCTAACACATGCATGCTAATTCCAACATGGTTCATGGTCCAATCTTCAATGATTTCTATCACTACCAAAAAAAAAGTGCAAAAAATATTAAGTATTAAAATAACTTAATAACCTTTATTTAATAAAAAAAAACAAATTATCAACATAATAAATCTACTCTATAAGTATGATATATTAACATTATATATTTTGGAATTATGACAATGATTTCTACATATCCATTTTGACATCCATTTTATTCGTTACTTTAACATAAAATATGAATTTGAAGAGATGAGACTTGTGCAATTTTAAACTTAAACCATGAAAAAAAATTAAAGTTCTTGATAATATATCGAATTTTTGTACTAATAAATTATTTGTTAATATTATACTATCAACATAGACTCACAATATTTATATAAATAATTAATTTTCATTAAATAAAATTCTTTTTGAAAAACAAATTTAATATCAAACTATTAGTATATGACTTTGTTTTTATGTAATTATTATAAAGACAATGACAAGTTTTGTAAATTACTACCAAAAGCAAACTATTGTTTGAATCCTCACTAGGAAGGTGCCTGCATCTTTTTTGTATTTTTTTAGGAAGGTGCCTGCATCTAGTACCTAACAATGTGTCCAACAAAATTGCATATATGTTAATGCATCTCGGGACAACAGTACTTGCACAATGGTTAGTAGTTTTGTCTCAAATATTTTGAAGGCTCCGTACTAGTGCCCCTAAAAGAAAAAGCATAATTATAAGATATTAAAATACATCCATAATATTTTGTTGACAATAATTAAGCAACTAAAATATATCCCTTTTAATTGGAACATATTTTTATGATATATAATATTACAATATAAATTTTATTTTTAAATAATAAATTTTTCTACCAATAAAATCTAACAGTTGGTTAAACAAAGTATGTGACTTGTTTTGATACCAAAACTTAATTTTGATTAATAATTTGCAGCCTGGATTGTACCTTGTAAATGTGGAAAAGTGAAAAGAAAGTATATTCATCTAATCAAATTGGATTATCTTCTGCGTCTGCAGAAGACAAAAATAAAGAGCAGTGAAAGAATAGATAAATATGGACTTAAAGTTAGAAAAGGGGGAAAAAATGTAATGAAGAAACAGAGATAGACATAGAAAGATAGACAGGATAGAGACGAGTGAAGGGAAGAGCTGTAGAAGAAGATCCAGATCCGAGCATCCGAACCCCTTATCTAAAAGAGTTTTTTTTCCATCATACGTGAATTCTCATAAATAAAATATAAAATAAAGGTTCTCAATAATATTAGAGTGCGTACATAAGATGCAGTAATTTAGGTGCAACAAGAAATATTCTTATTACTTGAGCATAAATAATATTGCATATATTCATATCTATTACTTATTTATTTATTTATTTTTATATGCACTTATCCAAAAAAAAAAGGTAACTTTAGTTGTCCAATTTTTTTTACTTAAAAATCAGTTATAAGCAAAATAAATAACTAGTAACACTTTCCAATTACTTTTCGCTTCAAAGGATGATACGCATGCAGTAACTATTTATAAATGCTCTTAACTGAAAAACCAAAAGAAAATAACCAAAACTTTAACAAATGGCTGTGAAGCGGGGTAATTCCACTAAAAACAATGATACAACAAACAGAAGAATATCAAAACAGAAATTTAGAATGACTGTAATACATAATGTTATGTACTCTCTCCTATTATCCTACTTCCGACAAACTACAAGGTTTCTACCAAGTCCACAGGCTACAACAGAGTGACCAAGTGATGATCAGAACTCCTTAAGTTACAAACAATGATTCTAAGGCCACTTTTCATCGAGTTCGTCAGGTTTCAATATGTATTGCTATTACATCATATCCACAATGATAAGAGGATTTGTGCAATCAGTCTTCATTGCAGGAACAAGTTCCCAGTTTCAATAGAAGAAAGAGCAGCAAGTGTCATTTCGCAAGAGCTTTTACTCATCATCCAATGCAGCTTCTTCCTGCCAAAAATATAATTATTTGTAGTAATAACAGACACAATGCAAGTGCTTCCTTGTTCTAATGTAGAATGCATTAGAAGGAACCAAATTTTGTGATCAACTAGTTACATAATAATGTCTATGATCGTCAATCAATAAAACATTAACAGTTGTAATCAGTTAAATGGATCAAACAATGCAATAGTGTTTTATCAAAAAACAATTCTTTAGATGGGCTATTTAGAACTACCAATCACAGAAAGAGCAAAAGGTATTGTTACATCTACACCAAATTTAGACATTTAAACATTTCCCTTTGCTGATCTGTTTTTGAAAATGGTAATACCAAAAGACAGTATATAAAGTTATGATACCACCTAAGCCTCAAAATGAAAACTCATATCAGTTACTAGGACAAGTACATGATTTTGAATACATAAAGAATCCTAGGCAAGGGGAAAATATTACGAACAGAAATTCACAACTCTTGTTCACAGGCAGCCAATCAATTTGCAATAGACAGTTGTTCAGCATCTCACCAACAAATACGAACATAATATTTGCTCCTACCTGTGGAGAATGATTACAAGATGCATATCCATCTATGCTGGTCTGGTTTATTTTTCTTGTACTGCACAATCAAGAAACACATGTTAATAATAGGTTTTCATGCAAATGAACAATAAGATAAGCCAGGAGCAGGCAATTCCAATATTGTTATTGATATTGCCCACAATTGATATAACAATTTAAGGTATAGATGAAATGTAGGTATTATTCACAAAGGAAACAGACCAGAAGAAGCGAGTCAAAAGCTGGAAAGCCAGGAGAAATATCCTAATTATTCTTAGGCATGCAATGGCTTTGATTTTATATTTATAAATATTATTGGAGGAACTAGTGTCAGAAACTCACAGCTATTGCTTATTTTCAACTTCTTCCGCTTGACATGTTCATTCTCCCTTCCACTCGTGCCCTTATGCTCCCGTACAGGGTGATACTTAATAGATGCCAACTCCTCTTTTGCAGCATCAAGCCTACACTTTTCATCTTTCTGGTACAATTTTGTGTAAGTGACAACAAACCAATGAACCTTCATATGTCATATGGAAATCATCAACACTTACATAGGACTTCTCCAACCCCACAATCTGTTGCTTACAAAGTTTGAGTTCCATCTCAAGCGCATGTATCCGGCATTCAGCAGGCACAGCACTTTGCTCTACCATTTGTTTTTGCCTACTTCGGACAACCTCCGGTTGCCACACATTCAAAGCTACAAAGGCTTGTCTACAAAAAAACAATCACAAAACCCCATCAACAGAATTCAAAACAAAGTTTACTCATGCTAATTGCAAATAAAATAAAGGCCATAAAGCCTACACCAAACACAACACGAAGAAAAATACAAATTACAATAGCCAATAGCTGCAGCATCTAATACTAACTTAACAAGTGAAATATTCATCTTAAGTTACCCAAGTAATGACAAATTCAATTCACCTAATTACCATTCTGATATAAACAAAAGATAGCATATCCAACATTTTAAAAACAGTCCACAACCATAATTTTGGCCACAATGTCAAGATTTTGGAAGTCCCTGTGACTGCATTGCAATAGTAATTGTATGGTTCAACTCAAAGTTGGACTTGAGTTCATATGATTTTTTTTTTCAACTCGAACTCAACTCAGTTCAAGCTCATGATCAGTTTGATTCAACTCATCAGCTTGAATCATATTAATCAAAAGTCACATTTTTTTAACCCTTTATATATATGTGTATGTGTATATATGTCAAGTCAAACTATATGGAATTCACGTTCATCTCATTTATTTATCAAGCTTATTTTTTAATTCAAGTTCAATTCATTTAGTTCATTCATTTAGTTCATTCATTTAGTTCATTCATTTAGTTCATGATCCAAATTCAACAAATTCAATGAGCTAATTATCGAATTGAGTTTCAAACTATTTCCTAGTTGGTTGAGTTCAATGTCACCCCTAAGTAATTGTAATCGCGTTTGTCCCCAATTCTTACAATACCAAGGATCTGAACAAAATTGTCCACAATATTTTACAATACCAACTACCATGTATTGTGAAAAAGAACAACAGCAACCACTATGTAAAAGCTGGAGCATAGCATTGAACTTGAACATATAGCAAAAAATGGTTGTTCTTTATACCTGGGTGTGCGATTAATTATTAAATGGGCAAATTACCTGGCCCTGCGCAAATTGGACAAGTCTTGAGCAGTTTGTGAGGCTTTGGCGGTTTCTTGAGCGACACGTGTGCGAATATCTCCGAGCCTTCTAGAATGTTCCGCAATCTGGCTCTCCTTCCTCAGCACAAGCCTCCTATGAGCAGCTATTCTCCTCTCTTTGTCTCTCTCGAACCTCACCACCCAAACATTTTACAAATAAATAATAAAAATGTGAACTTTATGCATACCCAGATAAGAAAAATGTGGAAAAAGGGGAAGGGGCGTGGTGAGAAAAGTTGAAAACGCGGAATGGAATAGGTACCTTAATTTATATAGGGATTTGGCGGCGGCGGCGGCGGAGGAGGAGGGGTGGGGTTTGGGGTAGTCGGAGGAGAGAAGGCGGTGCCAGAGAGGGTCCTCGGAGGAGAGGCGGTGAAGGCGGCGGCATGAGATGGAGACGCAGCAGAGCTCCTTGTAACTCAGACCGCCGCTTTCGATTCCGATTTCCAGGATTTGCCTCCAGAGTTCGTCTGGGAGCGATGACATTCTCGGAATTTCCACAAATTGTTGTGTGCGTGCAGATAGAGAATAGAGTGAGAGAGAGAGAGCTTTGGCTTTCACTTTGCCGGGGAAGCTCTTAACTCTAACCTCTAACTGTTGGATTCGCCAAATAATTCTAACCTTTGCCAAATTTTAGTTAAATTCAACTTTCGTAAGTAAGTCATTTGTATTCCATAATTGTTCATATTTTAAAAAAATTATATGTTAAATTAACTTTATTTAATAAAGTATTAAATAATTTTAATTTTTTTTTTAAATTGAAATTTTAATTTTTTTTATTGAAAATAATATATATATATATATAAAGAGTTATTAAATAGAGAAATTTTAGAGCAACTTTGTTCACAGATATCAACTTGTTTTATAAAAATATCTTGAATCACCATTTACACATTAGAGATGCTTTGATTTTAGTAACCGGACAGATTTGAGGTGTGGTTCAAGATGTGTTCGTTATAACAATTACTTGCATGTATCAATATATATATTCTAGATCTTTGCCTCACGTATATCATCAGAACTTGATAGTTTATGATATCTGTCGAGGAGTAACAGGTTAGCATTGTTATCATTGTAATAGCAGATGTTATTTCCTTGAAAAAAAATCTTACTAGCGTTATTTGCTCTGGGCAAGGAATTTCTTTATGTCTAAAAGCATTGTTACTATGGTTGTTACTATGGTTGCTACTAATTTGACCATCGTATCCCAAACAGGACTTACAACTGAGTTCATCAATAACATCACAAAGATCACCAGATTTTTTACTGAAACGTTAATTTCTAGCACCACAAGACACCGGTGTAACTAGTTTCATTGTTACAGCCATAGTGGCTCTTAACACAGTAACCAAGAATTGGGTTTGGGACTAACAACTATAGTAGGTACAATTCAAATGGATTTCAAGAGAAAGGATCAAGGCAAAAACAAGAACATAGTAAAATTAAAAGGGCTCGATACTTTCATCAACTAATGTCTAATAGATGTTTACTATATATCTGTCTTACCATCGCATTAATTTAATCTACCAAATGTCTGACGAATGTATTTTATGTAACTACCTACTCTCATAAATTGGAAAAATGGTAGAGGGTATAAGTACGTGATGACTAAAAAAAAATAGGATCACAAAGTGTTGCATTAACCAAAATACTAATGTGACTAGTGAAAATTATGTTTCCATATCAATGTGGTAATATGGACTTTAAATTTTATGTCTCATAATATATTATAGGAATATATACAGGGAAGTAATTCCCTATTAGTTGGTATCTTCTTTTAAATTGTTAGGTCACATGTTACTTGGTGCATAATCGTTCTTATTTAAGTAAGACACAGCTGAAATGTTGCCTGCAAAAATTATAATTTCTATTATTCTATTGCGTAGCTGATGCAGGCACGATTACATTTTAAATATTTCTGCTCTTCCATAACAAACCCATGCATAAGATTGTCGTTTGATAAAGAAACCTATTTACTTTTATAATGATAGAACTCATAACTACGTACACCAAACCCATGTCTATTATTCTGTCTCTCTCTTACACACCCCACCCCCACATACACTAAATGGAGTGTATGGGATTCTTGTATTAATATTATAGTCCCAACACACCAAAAGCTAGAGCCATGACCTCTTTATTTCGACGTTCACGGGCTGAACATTCGGTGTGCAAAGATGACGGACACCCCAATTTTCACTTGTTATTATGAATAACACACACTTCGGAAAACAACCATAGTTGTCAATTGCGCACCCCAAAGTCACTATAGTAGGATGGCAATAGCAATACTAAATATTATGGTTACATGATAATTTACATTGTACGCAAATGCTCATAGTAGAGACTAGAGACACAACAATCATCAATTGATAGCATAACTAACAATTCAATAAAAACCTAAGTTAAGGAGCACGAGACACAAAAAGAAAAAAGACAGTGCAAAGACCTAATAAGAAAGCCTGGCTGTGCCAGATACAAAAACTGATTTCGTCAGAAAATGCTTGGACTGCTATGAAAAACACCAATGTTAAGTTTTGATCTTACATTCCACATGTTTAGAAACATTGATAACTCAAACACCGGCAGTACCACAACCAGATTGTCAGCTCCTAGTTTACAATTGAAGGGGAACAAAGAAAAATAAAGGCTTGCCTGCCATCCTGACAGTAGACCAGTAAGGTTCCCGAGATATTGAACACTACATGTTTCAAGTTACAAATAACTTTTTGATTCTATTTCTGATATTGATATTCCTATAGGTATCAAGAGAAAGCGTAAGGACTTGTGCTCTTTATTCCATTTCAAAACATACGTCCTACAAAAACCTGTCAAGTTACAGAATTTCTAATCTGTTTGGTGCCAAGAAACATCAAAGAAGCTCTGCATCCAAATTGGAAAATGGCAGGACTTGGGAAATTGTCATGTTACCACTAAATAAGATAGTAGGTTGCCAATGGGTGTTTATTAACAAATGCAAAGCTGACGGAAGAGTAGAAAAAACATGGCAGGTAGCAAAGGGACTTACAGACCTATGGACTTGACTATCTATTCACATTTTTCTTATGGCAAAAATTAATTCAATTCCGAGTTCTGTTATGCAATGGACTTAACTGGACTTTATATCAACTAGATGTTAAAAATGCATTTATAAAAGGAGCCTTCGAAGAAGAGGATTTTTTGCATATATCAAGCCTTCCACCAAAATTTGAAGACAAATTTGAAGGCAAAGTCAGCAGGTCAAATAGGGCATTATATATATTATGGAAAACAATCTCCTAGAGCATAGTTTGCAAGGTTTGGGACCCTGGTGAAGAGTCACTAATACACCCAAAGTGAGGATTATCATACTTTATATTGTAAAGTGTAATCAAAGTCCCACATCAATTTAGAAAGGAGAATCATGAATCTATAAAGTACACATGTTCCATTTATATGAAGCCTTTTGAGAGATAACCAAAAACAATTATGAAGGCTTAAATCCAAACAAAGTGAACAATATTATACCAAGGTAGACATGTGTATGGAATACCCCCCTTAGTGCACCCTAACAAGTGGCATCATCTGTGGGGATGTGTGAATCCTAGTGCACAGGAAGAAGTAGTGATAGAGTCGATGGAGAATCAGCTCAACTTGAACAAATATGATAGATTTGGTGGCTTCTAATGGTGAATCCATATATGAAGGTGGAGGTCTTCTTGGTAACATGGAGGTTAGGAGTGTGTCCTGTTGCCATGAATTAATGATGGAAAAACGGGGCTACCATTAAATACTTGTGATGTATCCGCTGAAGGGAAGGTTAACTATAATCTTTTGTTTGAGGGGAGGATTGTTGAGAAGTGCAATTAAAGTCCCACATTATGTGGAAAGGAAGAAAACCATAAGTTTATAAAGCACACATATCCTCATAGACGGCACCACTTGTTAGGATGAACTAAGGGGCTACCCCACACACATGTCCACATTGATATGAGACTTTTTAGGAGATAACCAAAAGCAAAATCATAAGGGTTTAGACCCAAAGTGAATAATATCATACCAATGGAGATATGTGTGAGGTACCCCCTTAGTGCACCCTAACACTAAATTCCATAAAAGTTCATTTCATCAAAGGGAAAACTGCAGCACTGATTGTCAATGTTCGTGGCTTTATATTGACAGTTGGGGATGAAGCAGAACTCAAGTTTGAAGGAGAGTGCATTTTAAATTAAGTATTCAGGTTTCTGCAGATAGAATTAGCTAGATCTAAAGGAGTTATGTTTATAAACCAAAGAAAGTATGTACTAGATTTGCTAAAGGAGACTGGGTTGTTAAGGTGCAAAGCAGCATAAACCCCTATCAAAGCTAATACAAAGATGAAACCTCCTGAGACTGGGGAAGTGGGTAGATAGAGAAGGATATCAGAGATTGGTGGGAGACTGATTTTAATTTCTCATACTCGTCCAGATTTATCTTTTGCAGAAAGCTTGGTAAGCCAATTCATGCATACACCAGGACCAGAACACTTTGAAGCTGCTTACAAAATTTTGAACTATCTAAAAGGGTCACCAGAAAGAGGATTGCTGTATAAGAAGCGCAGACACTCGCAAATAGATGCCTACACCAATGCATAGTGGTCAGGGAGTACCATTGATAAGAAGGCTACTTCTGGTTGTAATATGGCAAAGTAAGAAACAGAATGTGGGGGCCAGTAGTGCAGAAACACAATGTAGATCAGTGGCCCATGGAATATGTGGATTGTGCGAATTGAAAGACACTATTAAACCTATGGTTTGACAACTCTACACCTATCAAACGTCAACAGTAACATCAAAATCAGTAATCAAGCATATGAAAGTACATAAACAGTCATTACTGAGAAGAAAGAAAATTGCACAGATCTGCATGCTATGTCCTTGCAAACATTCTTGCCAGAGGACTGTCCAATAAGAACTGTGATGGTTCTGTCAGCAAGCTGTCTATGGAAGATATTATTCAAGCCCAATTGAGGGGGGAGTTTTGAAAGAATACCAAGTTCTTTTGAACTCTAAGTCCTACATAATAGAACTTCAGTTAAGAGAAATGTAGATATTTAATAAATATTAATAACTAATAAGATAAATGTAATTTCCTAATTTTTAAGGATGTGGCTGACTAACTCTGACTAACATCGTCTCTCTGCTATGAGAGAGGACTTGGTATTCTATTTTTTGGTATCAGTCAAAAGATACAGACGATATTTTTCTTTAAAGCATAACAATAAGAATATACAAATAGCAAGTTCATATTTTACCAAAGAAAGTCAAAGATAAAAATAAGTGTTCATGATCCATTGGACTGGACAAAGATTTTCTCTACACAACAAAAAGTACATTCATATGTCAACTTTTTAGCATTTCTTCACCTGACCAGTAGCCATGTAAAAGCTCTGAAACCAAATATACAGCTACAGTTCCCTATGCAAGGTTATCGATAATGAATAATAGCCTACGATGAGCCGAAAATCTGTCATCAACTTATGGTGGATGGTGTGGCTGATGCCATGTGTGTGTGTACAAAAATTAAAAAAAAAATAGCAAAAGAAAATTAGAAACATCATGAAATATATTAAAAACAGAAGAATCATAGGTTAAAATCTCGAAAGAACAATGTCATAATCCATCAGAGTCTCATAATCTCATTACATAAAGTCATAAACATAACAATTAATTAAAGAGAAATGCTATTGACACTTACTTTAACACTCTCTTGCTAACACTCTCTATCATTGGTTGAAAAATCATAAATTTTAATAAGTCTTACCACTAAATCAAGAGAGTAACCCATTAAATGAGATGTAAGACCTACAAAACTTGTGATTTCCAATATATTTTAGCCAATAAAATTGAGAATGTTAGAGAGAGTATCGCTAGCATTGCTCTTAATCGAAAGTTTCCATCATATGTCTAAGGAAGCATGACTTTGATTTTGGGTGCTTGACATTGTCCTATAAGTAAAAAAAAAAAAAGAATTGGGAATAACATTCTATGTTTAATAAAGAAGCAAAGAACAAAAGAACAGTGAATACCTTTTTGAAATTATAAAAACAGAGAACCAAACAATGAACATTGAAGAGATGAACAGTAACAGTTAGTGCCACAAAGAGAATAAGAGACCAAACAAAAAAATACAGAAAAAAAAAAGGCTAGGAACATCCGGAGAATATAGAACAGATGGAGAATAATAAAAATGGAAGGAACGAAAAAACATAAAAAAAAGAAGAAGAAAAAAATTGTTCTATCTCGTCGGCATTGTTTGTTGGATATTTAGGGGTTGTCTTAGAAAATCGTTAAATGAGCTTTCTAAAAGCGAAAAAATAAAATAATCAGTCATGACCGACATAAGCCCCGAGGGCCCCATGGCTATGGTGGGCACATAACGGATATGGCGACCACTGCCATTTAACGTAAGAAAAAGGATGCAAATGGCAATCAAGTTCCAATCCGTTTGTTGACAGCATTGTCCTTGTGATTATTAAAGTTATTACTTCAGAGTTCAGCGTTCTACGGACAACATGAGAAGATCATCCCACGATCCTATACCTATGTTATCCAAAATGCCAATGATTGCCATATCAATTTCCAACAAATCTCAATTAAAATCATATTCCATAAAACTGAATAATCTAAGCCAAATAAAAAAAGAAACTCAGAATGTCAGTTTTGAAAAAACTGAGATATCCAACCACAGACTAGGTAAAAAAATTTAAAATAAGCTTTAGAAGAAAATGGCTATCCAGATAAACAAATAAACAACTAAAAATATATTGCCTACACATTTCTTGGAGGTTTATCAGAAGACTTTGCTGCAGCATATCTTCGATCCACATATACATTCCTTATAAACTCTCTTGTTTGATCAACAATACTGTAAAATCAGCGCATGATTTGTCACAAGTTACGTATTCAGATATGCAAACAGCTAAATATTGTGTTAGTATCATAGTCTTGACAGAAAATTAAATTTATTGGACCTGCTATCTGGCAATTGCTGCCTTTCGAAGTCCCAATTTTTCAAATATATTTCCCTTGCATGCTGAAATTAAATAATTAAATAATCACAAACAAATCTCTTTTTAACAAGGAAATAAAAGTGGCTCCAAAATTCCTAATATAGAAAAAGATAATCCAGCATTGTACCCGGTTACCCCTATTTTGAAGAGCATAAACTTCTTGGAAAGTGAACTTTGCCATAGATACAGAGTTCACACAATGGGTAAACTCACGGCAGCATGACAGAAAGACAAAACAATTTAAAGGTTTGTACATTATAGCCAAATATAAACAACACTACTTCAAACCACTAGGATTGGTTTAGTGATGGTTTACATAAGAAGTGACGATAGAACATGTTCAAGAAACCAAAGCAAGGCTTGTAGTTTTGAATAAAATAAAATATTATTTCAGGTAATATTTTAAGTGAATATATGGAATTTATTAAATAAGAAAACCCAATATTTCCTTAAAAAGCAATTATTATCTGGGTAGCCTCCTTATTTACTAGTTTTATCACTCATCAAGCAGGCCTACATGTAAAACAGAAGGATTCCAATTTGAGTTTAAAATGTTCTCTGTTAAGAAGCCCATTATCTACACTAGAAATGAAATTCTGAAGAATATTCAAAGCAATATAAAATCTCACATGTTCATGATAAATTTCAGCCATAAGAACATCTTACACCTTGGCACTACAAGATCGTAAGATTAAAAAGTACTATTATATTATATAGTCATTGGCTAGAAGACAAATAGAAACATAACAATCAGCTGAATCTGGTAATGAGAACCCAAGTATGCTAAGCAACACCATAATGAGTGTGTGCATGGTCAAACCTGGATTCTAAATGCAAAACCTTTTCAATGGAATCTGTTATCTCCTTGAAATGCCGGGCACATTTTAAATTTCAACACTCCAGAAATGACAAACGTTATAAAGTAACTTACCTTCCTTTAAAAGAATAGAAAGACCAAAAGAATTGAAAAATATGTTTAATAGATTGTACAGGAACTCACTGTAGTCCACTGCATCAAAGTTGTCAAACTCGAGAGTTTACGTAAACTTTACTCTTAAACTCGTAAACAGCAATGCTTTGCAAGTTCTTGAACAACAGCAGCAGCGAGTTCGCAAACAACAACAGCGAGGACTGACAATGTTGCGGACAGCAACAGCAATGACTGTTGAGTTTGCAGACAACAATAGTGACAACCAGCAAGTTCACAGGAAGCAACAACAATTTTCGGTGAGTTCTTGAACAGCAGCAACGACAATGGAGAGTTCTCCCACAGCAGTTCGTTGAGTAGGAGCAGCAAAGAACAACATTGTTTTGGGTGATGTAAGCAATTTCTTAAAAAAAAATGTGAAACCATGAATTCGTTTCTAAACTCACGTTTTTAGCGAGTTTAAAACCGATTTTACTGAGTTTATCCAAGTTTACAACAAACGAGCTTACCTGCGATTTAACACATTTTGGCTGCCTGAACTCGTAAACTCGTACAATTTTAAGAGTTAAAATAAGAGTTTAACAACCATGCAATGCATCTCATGAAAAAAAAGGTCCAGAAAATCGTACAAACATATTGCGGGTCTTAACAAAAATTTAAATTACCAGTCAATTAATTGAGAACATCATCTCATAACATAATAATAAAATTACATAACACTAATTATTAAGTTAACTCCTTGACATAAATGTTGATGTGTCCAAACCAAAACCTTAGTTTGATAAAAACATCTCTTATACTCGAATTTAACCGCTCAGCCACAGCCTCTTCCTCAAGATAATACACCCTCTTTCAAGGAAGCATCGTTTTCATCCACCAGATGCCTCTTAAACCCCTATAATTCCACCTACCATGACATCATGACCTAGAAAACAGTTATCCCTCCCAATATCTGACAACGACAACTGCAATCTGTCACTTTTCAGTCAGTGGGGGCCAGAGACTCTGAATGCTCAAGCATTTTCCCTGTTGCTCAGACAGCAAAAAGGCAAAAAATACAAAACACATCCACAGAAGCACCAGGAAAAAAAAACATAGTTAGATAGAACACCATTGCCACCACCAAGACCAAAAAAAAACCGAAATTATGGAGCGGTGTCATTGTTCAATCAACAGGGGCCAAAGACTTTTAATTCTCAATGGCAACAAATCCCAAGAAAATCCATACACAAAGGTTCAACAAATCCCAAGAAAATCCATACACAAAGGTTCAACAAATCCCAAGAAAATCCATACACAAAGGTTCAACAAATCCCAAGAAAATCCATACACAAAGGTTCAACAAATCCCAAGAAAATCCATACACAAAGGTTCAACAAATCCCAAGAAAATCCATACACAAAGGTTCAACAAATCCCAAGAAAATCCATACACAAAGGTTCAACAAATCCCAAGAAAATCCATACACAAAGGTTCAACAAATCCCAAGAAAATCCATACACAAAGGTTCAACAAACAAAACCCACAACCAGTTACATTGCATTGCATTTCAAATATCAGTTGCAACACTATCTGTTAATAACAAGACGATGATTGAGAACAAGTATGTCACTTTTTCCTGTGTGTGTACAATAATGACAACAAGATTAGTCAGAACAGGTATGTCACTTACTACAAAGGATATAATAAACCTACCTCTTAACTCCATGCACAAATTCCTTCTCCTAAACCCTAAGCTAGCTCAAAACATCATCAAATTGGTGGCAGTCCCAACAATGAAGGGCTCCATGAGCAGCCTCGTCAAAAAGTAGAACAGAACCCCCAAGGTGATCGAAATGGGAAGCGCCGGCAAGGCCTTGCGGCACACAGACAACAAAATGAGCGTGCAACCCAAGCCAGAAATAATGGCAAGGTAACAAGCATACACAGTCATCAAATCATACATTGCCGCTCTCCCCACAAGAACACTGTAGAATACAAAATCCCCAAGACCAAGCTTAATCCCCCTTTCCCCCAACACCTCCCTCCTCACCCCGTCATCTTCTTCCTCACCCTCCCCCACCCCACTCATTCCACCAACCAACGGAGACCGTTCCCCTTCATCTCCTCTACCACCATTCTCCTCATCACCACCATCGTCATCGTCATCATTGTCGCTACTACTATTCCTAATTACATTATCCCTAGAAACTACCTGAAGCTCAATTCTAGAGCTTTCAGAATCCGAAACCCCGGCGACGAGAAACCCTAACGCGGCAGGGTTCCGGGCGGACACCGTCGGGCGCGCCTCGTACACCAACGCCGGCAGCTCCTCGTCGCGACTGGAGGCCAAATCGACGAGCAGCTTCAACGGTCCGCCGGGAGCGAGAACGGCGACCAAATCGTAGAGCGCGAGCGCGACGAGGAGCGCCCACGTGGTCCACTCCGGCAGCTTGGTGAACCAGGCGGCGACGATGATCCCGAGGCAGACCATGTAGAACTGGCGGAGGAGGATGGGGACGGCGGCGGAGAAGACGGAGAGGACGCCGACGACGGTGAAGTTGAGGAGGAGGAGGAGCGAGGTGAGGGCGTCGAGGGGGATGGAGAAGCGCTGGAGGAGGGATAGGAGGATGGATCCGCCCATGGAGGCGAGGACGAAGAAGGCGGAGAAGCGCGTGTAGTGGCGGAGGAAGGAGGTGCAGTTGTAGTAGTAGAGGAGGACGAGGAGGAAGGTCACCACCGCGATGAGGATCACGAACACCAGCGCGTTCAGGAGCGCGCCCTCCAGCTTCTGCGCCGCCGTGTCGGAGGGATTCTCCGCGTAGACGAAGTTGGCGACGGTGCGCATGGTGGCGGCGGCGGCGTCCGGCGAGGAGAGGGAGTAGACGAGGAGAACCACCAGGAACATGCAGATCGAGACCGGACTCATGACGCCGATTATTTCCACTCCCACGCATTCCAGAACGCTCGATTCCATTTCACCGATTTTAGGACTTAGGTTTTCTCACATGCTTGCTGCGTTTCCTTTTATGGACGCGTTCTTCCCAAACGCTGTTTTCCGTTTTCCGTCGTGCAATCGCAGATTCTCCTTCAAATTTCTACCTTTTATGCTTGGATTATTCTTTGACGGAGTGCCCAATCTCGCATTATGACGTGGATCTCGCTTATTACATTAGACACATTATTTTCTAATTAATGAATACTTATTTGGTGAGTTTCAATTCAATTCGTGAATGTTAAGTCATTTGACCATTCATCATGTCTAGCCAATCCTCCATCACGTTAAATTCAACCACGATTATGGTATTTATTTTCATGACTTAGGAAGCAATTGCAAACGTATTAGTAAATTGAGCAGCATATTTTTCATTTTTAATGTATACAAGAAAAATGGTAACGACATCTTGATAAACATAAGCATAACCAAACAATTCAAGCTTCATTATTCAGTAATAAACATCTGCAATCAGTGATGATTATTACATGGGAACTAACTCCTCTTTTCCATGCATGACTCAAATCCTCTGTTCTCAATTTTATTCCTCCAATAGAATCAATCAACTAGGAAAATTCTCTCAAGTGATAGAGGTGTAAACTTTGCTGTTTCTTGACCTCTAGTATTTTCAGGGAGACGCAAAATTAGGACGAGGGATAAAAAGAGGACAAAGGTTTTAGCACCCTTTAATTTAAAGATGCTTATGACAAGCCATGTTCAAAGGAATAGGTGGATCAGAAAATGAACCATCTACAATATGATCAAACACCCATTTGTTTGCAGCCTGAGTGAAATGAACACCATCCCAATTAATCCTAACAGAAGGATCCTTGCATGGCTTTCCAATCAGAATCTCTTTGCCATGAACCTTAATCTTGGCACCACATCCAATGTGTAAGTTGTAGTTGTACTTCCCACCATGCCCACAACATGCTCTCAGAGGCTCCTCAAAACCTGCATGCAACAAACACATCTCATTTTTCCACCCACAACACACATTGAGCCTGTTTGGATCCAGGCTTAGGAGAGTTTCTTTACTAAAAATAAAAAAAACGTTTTCCAATTAAGAAGTTCTCAAAAGCTCATCTAATTTGTATTTAAACAGACTAATTCCCATAAGCCAAACAAGTCCTGACAAAGAGTTTACCATGCTTCGTTGCTTGACTAATGAGAGAGTACTTCACTGAGTAGACATCAACATAGGTGATGGCAGCCAAGGGAAGTTCTTTCCTGAGTTGAACCACAACTTCTTTCAATCCACGGTTGAAGAACTTGGCCACTTCATTATAAGGGGTTGCACATCCTGCTTTGTCCAGTAATGATGGTTTCACTGGGTGAAGATCCAAGATGTATGGCACACAACCAACAGGACCAGTATTGTGAACCCAAAATGACCTTCCTCCATGATCATACACATACTAACAAAGGAAAACAGATGCACAAACATGCATGTTATGTGATCCACATTCTACAAATTTGTCTTCTATAGGTCACACTATTATTCATTTGGTCCTACAATTTTCATATTCAGAGTTTTAGTCCCTGAACAGTTTTCTGACAGTTTATTACTCACTGCCAACAAATTTTTACACCATCAGAATGTGTTGTTTTATATTAGCAATGAGGACTAAAACTTAACTTTTATGCATGTACAGAGATCAAAACGTTCAATTTTTAAAAGATTCAATGTTAATGTAATACTGTTATTCTCGGTGTAAAAAACTTTACAGCCAACCAATAAGAAATTATAATTTATTTAATTTTAGATAGTTATTATTAAAATTATCAAATTTATCATTTATGATAAATTATAATTAGATGACCGTGTAAATCTGTTTTATTCTAACACCATTTAACTCAAACATAAAATGAGGATAACTATATAAACTAAAAGAATATTTTACCCTTTTGTATATTAGCATTTAAAAATATCACAAACATTGAAATGGATTACCTTGAGTACAGTCTTGAATTGAGCCAAAACATCTGGAACATATGCTTTTACTTGATCCGTGGACATGTTGTGGAAGTAACCAGAAGTCAAGTCATTCTGACCAATATCAAACGTGTACAATGCACCAGAAAAGTCTTCTGCTTTTGGTAGCAATGTTTTATATACTCCACCTAAGAGGGTGAAAAATGATGAGTCACTTATTTGAGGTGAATAAACTGAATTTATCAACATAAACAGACATGTTAAAGAGAAAATATGATTCATGCTTTGGCATTATTACCTTTATTGCGAAAAGATTGTGTCCTGCGCTGGAAATCACTGAATTGATTGAATTGAACATCCAAAGAGAAAGGGCTGAAACCACCAGTTTGATGAAGGGTTGTGTTTTGGGGTCTAATGGTGGATCCAGCAGTTGCAAAGTTGGCTCCATGGCTATAATTTGACCCAACAGAATCAAGATATGCATTCAAATAAGGCAGGCCCAGCTTCTTAGCTTTTCATGCACATAATGAAAACAAAGGTTCAAATTAATTAACATTTGCCAAGATAAAAGTATCACTAATTGTTCCAATTGCAACAGTTCAACATCACTAATCACATCAATCCAATTAATAATAACGTTTTCTTACTGTAATCTATAAGCTAGCAGATGTAATTATTTATTTTTTTGTCATCTTATTATTGTGAACTGTGAAGTATTACTAGTCGATGACTAACTGAGATCTTGCTTAAAAACACAGTTTAATTCCACCCAGACCAACACCTCATATCTTGGTTAAAGAAAACAACCCAATTCCACTCAGATTTTGTCAGAATTTCTTATTCCAATCTTTTTCATTTTTAATCGATTTAAGTGGCCAAAATTTGTGTAAGAGCTGCCTTTATAAATGATTTTAAAGTACTACATTCTGTGTTATGATTTTGGAATAAGTATCAAATATAGATGATGTATTTTATTTTTTTCACAGTAAATATAGATGAAGTATTAGAAGAAAAAAAATTATTTATTTAAATCTAAAAAAAATGTTAGAAGTATGGGTGGTCCATGTATCACATGCTACAATGCATTTAATATCAAGGGTATTACTGTCTACAAAGTTGCATCACATCAATTATTGTAACTTTAAGGATTTTATGCAAAACTTACTTCGTGCATTCTATAATAAAAACAAAAGTGTTTTTGAAAAACGATTTTGTTCTTTCTTTCCCTCTAAATTTGCTCGTCTGAATTCAACAGCAATTAATAATTTGACCACGTGATTAAAAAATTCCAAAGTATTGTGGTATAGTCTTTCACAATTTTCTTTTAAATGATCAAATTGGTCTTTCTAATAACAACCTTAACGTTTCAGGTTCTCTAAACGTTGAAATTCTATGCAAAGCAAATTGGTTAAATTAAATTATAAGATTTGATTACCACGTGATATGTGAAGAATAATATTTTACTTTGTATGGAACAAATCCGTGATTTAAGGAAAATAAAAGTTAATGACTAAACAATAATATTGTTCCTTGATTTAGTGAGATTGAGCATTGAGGGTGAATGTACCCACAGACAGGGATGGGCTTAGCAAATTTGTTCTAATGGATAATGACAACATCCACTCACTCAGTCTGTCGGTGGATATTTCAAAACCCAAATAAAAAGAAAATGATTCCATTTCTTCTTAATTAACTCACAAGGGATCTTATACTTAATTTAGGAAATTCACATTCATTAGAAAAATCAAGCACTTTCAAAACCATGGACCATGATTCTTAGTATTTGGTTTGAGAGTAATTGATGCAAGAAAAATTAAAAATTAAAAATTAAAAATTAAAAATAGGCAACATTATCCAAAGTTCTACAAATTATATACATTCACTCAAGACTCAAAATTAATTAAACCGATTTTGTTGAAGTTTGGTTGAGAGAATCAAAGTGAAGATAATGAAGCAAAGACTTTGTCAATAATTTCTGTTACGAAATCTAGCCTATCACTTTTAGTATAGTTTCATTTTCTAATCACATTTATTTTTATGTACAAAACTTGAATCATAATCTTGTTTAAAGAGATCTACTATTCAATTCAATACAAAAAATATACTTAAACTGATAATTGGTGTAGAGATCATCAAAATAAATTGTCTCTCTCAATAAAGTTTTCTACATAGCATTGTCAGAGAATCGAAAACTCTGACATCATATCTAAAGAATTCAACCTTGTAGGTAAATAATGCATATAATGAAGCATGGAAGAAGGAGAAAATGGAAAAGGGTGAAGAGAAAAGAACAGAAATACCTATGAAATCAACAATGAGACGACCATCACAGTAACGGCCTGCAGGGTGATGAAAGTAGGACTCTCCATGAGGAGGACCAGCTTGTCCAAAGGCAGCAGAAAGGCCTCCAGTGTCTGAATTTGAGTCCCCAAAGTTGAATATGGCAGGAAAATGGCAGTGCCTTGAAGCCAATGAGTTTGTAATAGAACAAACTAACACAAATATCACACCCCAAAAAAGGGTGTTTAGATTCATATTCATGTTGTTGTCACAACACTTCTCAATTGAAAAGGATGAGGTAAAGCTAAGGCCTAAGAGTATATATAGAGTGAGTTTTGAGCCAAAAGGGTGTGGTGTGAACTGTTGACATCATGTGTTTGGAGTCTATCCATGAGAGGAATCGCATTGGATTGTGAGCCAAAAAGGACTGTTGCATTTTCCCATTAAGACTCATAAAAGGGTTCCAAATTTTGACACCAACTGTTATGTTTTATTTCATTTTCTCTTCAATGATCTTCATGAATTAACATTTGGTACAGTTATGATGAAACGATAAGTCCAAACGTTGATTCTTTCTTGGTTTTTTTACTTGATTAATGTTGTGTTTGGTGGAGAAGATACAAATCTATTATTTACCTCTAAATATCTCTATCTATTCTATTACTGTATATAAAAGAAACTACTCTTCCCACGTGTCACACTTTGGGGAAAAAAAATCTCCTCTTCAAACATTTTTTTTTCATACATTTTTCATCATCTTTATATTTATTTATTTAATATTATTGTATAATGTAATATAATTTTTTTTTACCTTTTTACTTGTTATCATTATTATGTTTATCTTTTTAATATTACTGCATAATTTAATAAAATATTTTATCAGTATAGTAATAAATTTTTTTTTATTTTTCATATGATTACGATAATAAGTCTATATTATTTTTATTATTATTATATTTTATTAATATTATTTATGTTTAGTATTTTTTTTTATGTATTTTTAAAAGGTGCTTTTTAAAATAGTAAAAAGTAAAATTTAAAATAATAAAGTAAAAAAATTAGCAAAAATAATGACAGTAAAAATAAATAAATACATTTGCATTATAACTACAATATCAAAATAATACAAAATAGTATTATAAAAATATTACAAGATGTAAATTTAAAATACAAAGTAAAAAGGTAACACTAATAATGAAAATAAAAATACTAATAAAATACAAATATAATACATTGTCATTATAAAATAGTATTTTTAAAATATTAAAAAATAAAATTTTAAAATATTACTTAAAGAAATAAGATTTATTTAGATTGTCGAAACAAATAACAAATTATTTAAATCAAAATGCATTTTAAGTATTATATATATAATCTTATATTTTTTTATTATTATTATTGAATGAGGTAACTAAATTTTTTAACTCACTTTATTAAATAGGACGGGAGATTGATCCATATTTTGGAGGGACAAAGATCAGATGGATCAACTTTGTCCATTTTATCACCCTTATTTTTAATAATTTTTTTATTTATTTATAGGAATTATTCAAAATATTTGTTTATAAATTAAATATCATAAATGTAAGAAAATTTTATATATATATATATATATATATATATATATATATATATATTAACTAAGTGTTTATGATTTATTTTTTATTTCATTTGATGTGTCTAAATTAATTATTCTTAAAAAAAAAAAATTTTTTAATAAATATCATATATAAAAACATTTTTAAGCACTAAATAAGGTGAGGTAGATTTTTGAACACATTTTATTGAACGAAAAAAAATAAATCGACCTGTTTTGATTTTTTTTTTTTTATGGGATGCATGTGGGACAAAGCAGATCAACCCTTTTTTCCAACTTTATTTCCTATAACGATTTTTTTTAAAACATTATTATAAATTATAAATTTTATAAATGTAATACATTTTACAATATAGTTGTAAAATAGTTAGATATTTTTATAATTTCATATTTTAAAATTATAAAAATATTTAAAATTTAAGATAATTAATTTTAAAATATTTATCATATAATTTTATAAATATTTTTGAAAAAAAAATAAGAAATATGTATAAAACTATACCCAACTTGCATATTTCTATATTTTATTATTTTTAAAAAATAAAAAAAATAACTATATTATTTTATTATTAAGTTTTTATTTTATAAACAAATATATTTTTAATATGCATATAAATGAGGTTAATTCGTACAAACACATTACATATCGTTCTAGTTAACAATAAAAGAAGATAGAAATGTAACTTCAATTAAGTAAATGAGTATTTATAAGATGATAATATTAAACAGAATAAATTTAATTAAATTTTCTTTATATTTGACACTACAAGGAAATTGTCGTATAGTGACACACATCCTATAGTGATACAATAAGTATTACTAAAAACTACTTTTACCTACACAATAAATATAATATATGTTAATATATTATTAAAAAATGTGAGTATAAGCTATAGTGACACACAAAATATGTTGTTAAATCTCATTCAAAATCAATACTAAAATTGTGTGTAACTATATGCCAAATATATATATATATATATATATTATACTTATAGTGACACTTTTTGTATGTCACTATATGTAACATTTATTGTAGTGTGATATCAACAAACATCAATTTTCTTTTTATAAGTATATTATGAAGAAATTGAAAATTTGATGATTTTGCTAAACCCTTCTCAAATGTAGTGATCTAAAAGTTTTAAAAGTATAAAAAAAAAATGGTCATATTTGTTTTATTATTTACTTTTTGTTTTTTTTAAAACATATAAATTAATTAAATAAACTTATGTTGGTAAAGAAAAAGGCAGAAAGGTTGTTACCATGAATGTGAGTGAATGATAGAGTGAGCAAATGAAAGTTTAAATTAAGATAAGTAAAAAAATTTCAAGTAAATTAAGAAGATAAAAAGATTAAAAAAAATTACGAACTTATAAACCAGTTAAATTAATTTATAAATTCTTTCAGTATCTTATGAAACCAACTAAACTTGTCATTATTGGATTGGTTTGGACTTCTACACACCATTGATGTGTCTTTAGAGTAGTAATAAGACAGTAGACATGTTCTTGTCTTTTGAGTGAGATGTTGATAATATATATTTTTGCAAAGAATCGTGACCATGCTAACAACTAACAAGTATCTCCTTCAATAATAACATATGAAATTGGAAGAACATATGTCATCTTTTATTGTTAGCTATCTAATTAATTGGATTAATGTGTTTATGAACAATAAGCTAACATATTCCACTAAAAATGTTTGATCAAATTAACTATTTTTGTTTTGGGTGAGTAAAATATTTTATAGACATATTTTACTAAATGATTCTATTTTACTAAAAAAAAAACTCAACAAGTAAAAAACCTTGTGTACCAATAACACATTATTTGTGCAAATTCATTTACTGAAATGTCAAGTCAGCACTATTTATTATAAAATGTTTACAAAGCACCACTACTTCCAGCATGAACTCAAGATGAAGAATTTCTAACCAACATAAGTTTGAAGCCCATGTTTTAAATAAAAGTGCATTAAGAGTGAGTGATTTACTCCGATAATTAGTTTCTATTGTATATGTAATATTTTTTATTTTTAACATCAGTTATTTAAACTTCATAAGAGGAAGATTAAGTTATTAAGTTTAATAATCATAATATAAAATATTATATATAATCAACCAATGAAAAATTATTATTTATATAATTTTTAAAATAATTATCATAAAAATTAATAAATTTATTATTTATGATATATATGGTCAATATATCATCATTTAACTCTTATAGGACATTTGTTACATGACAAGTTATTTTTTTATGATTGAAAACTATGCTAAAAAAATAGGAATGAGTTTTCTGCTTAAAGATCAAACTTTAGGAACACAGTTGATAGATAATGAGTCCCCCGTTCCTTGAGGCCTTGAGGGTCAGACTCTCTTCTTGTCCACCACCCAACTACAAAAGAAGAATTGTTTTAAGGTTTTTACTTTTGGGAAATATTAGAATAACCAAAGTGAGTTACAAATCCAGTAAAACAAGTCTGAAGTGATATTTATTTTAAAGGTGTTTTTTCTTTCTTTCTCATATATATTCGTGAGAATCATAAATCATATAATTATGATTATTTGTAATGATGAAAAATTGTTTAATTGATCATAAATTATAAATGTTGCATGTGAATTAATGATTTTTATTTTATTAAATAAATAAATAAAAGTAATATGACATTTTTACCATATTAAAACTATATTTTTAACTTTGGAGAATTTTACTCTTCCATCTGGAACAATTCCATGAAAAATTATGTAAAAAATTATTATCCAAAAATAATATTTTTTAAATGTATTATTTAAAAAAAATCAAACATAAAAAATTAACATTTATAATATCATGCTTCAAAGTATATTATTTTTATACATAAGAAAAATTACAAAAACTTTATAAGAATCAAATCTAAGCTCTCTTATTTCTAACTATTTCAACCAGTAGGATAACTCTATTGGTATGTTTTAATGTATATATTTTGTTATTAAGAGATGAATAAGTGAATTCAATGTACTTATGTCAAAATGAAATGAAATATTAAATTAAATTTTGGAATATTTCAATAATTAATAACTTTTATGAATTGGTGTTAAAAAAAACTCTTGTAAATTTAATAGAATATAGTAAACATTTTTATACAGTAATTTCTTTTATAAACATGTTTTTACACTGTCATCGAATATTAAATTCTCGTAATTACTTTACAAAAATCATAATCCTTGAACTACATAATCAAATATTAAATTCTACATTTATTGACCTCCAAGCTAATAAAAACTAAGTAAGACATGGTGATCCCACCACAAAATAATTTCCCCTTGAACTAAAGCAATTACAATAACAAAGTTTAATGCCTCAATTCTCACAATCTAAATCCAAATTGATTGCCATCCCCTGCCACAAAACTAATAAAACATTTTAAGAATTCTAACTACAATATTGTCATTTTTTTTTTGTCAATAACTATAATCAATTACAAAATTAAAACCGCGCGTGACGTGTATATGGCAGGGACTAAGAATTATAAGACCTTCCTTGGCGTGGAAGTAATGGGCAACATTTTCATGACAAGAATAGAAGCATAAAAATCTATGTCACCAGCAACTAAATTGGCTATGTATAAATTTCCCAATGAAATGATTCAACATTTTACGGCCTAATGGTGTGTTTGGATGAGAAATTTTACAAATTTAAGAAATTTTAAATTCTTGATATTTGAATTACTTTGATTTCAATTTCTATCATTCTTAAAATATTTTGTTTGGATGAGTCAATTCAAATTTCTTAAATTTTAAATTGTTAGGTTAAATATGATAATTTGATTCCATCATAGTAAAACTAATTTTAAAAATATATTTATAAGTTGAGATTTTTAAATTAAATTTTATAAAAATAAATATTAATTCATTTTTAAATATTTAATAATTTTAAAAATTATTATTAGATAATATTTAATAATTTTAAAAATTAATATAAGATAATATTTAATAATTTTAAAAATATTTTTGAATATCCAATAATTGAAAGAATAAAGAGATAAGATAAAATATATAGGTGAAATAAGAAAAATAAATATGAGGAATTTCAAATTCTCTCGTTTTTGGAAGAATTTGAAATTTTACTATTTTAAGGAATTTCACAAATGCTTGGATTTCAAATTCTTTGTAAATTCCTCGTCCAAACAAAGCATTTCACCTCAAGGAATTTGAAATTCTTCAAATAAATGAATTACCTTATCAAAATTCCTCATCCAAACACACCATAAACCTATGCAAAGGATTGCCCCCAAAAGAAGCAACTGGTCCATTCGTCTGCATGTTCCTGCAAATAATCAACTCAAAAAGTAAATGGCATGTTCCAAAAACACAGAAAAATAAGGCCACGCTATTGGAAATTGTCAAATCAAACTTTATAAGGTTGCTTTAGGGTTTATTTAGATAAATTTTTTCATAAATACTAAAGAAAAAAAAATGAAATAAAATTCAACTAATATATAAATTAAATATAAAATTTTGAAAAAATTAATAGAAGAACACTTCTATAAACTAACTTACAGATAAACTAATTTTAACTTAGAGAATTCTTATTTTTTTTACATTTATTTTATCTCGTATTGTGTGAATATATATAACGTGATAAATGATATGACAAGTGATGGTGAATCATATTTGCTTTAATTGTATCATTTTATGATTTTGTATGTGCATATGATTATGATATATTATTATTGTATGTGTTTAGTCATTTGACCTTATTTTACATCATGAGTTAGAGTGATCATGTTTCACATTTCTTGTTTTTGTGTTGCTTTTATATGTATGTTATTATAGGTGAGACTTAACATGATGTTAATAATGTTGGTGATAAGATCTAGACCTTGTATGAGAGTATTCTAATAAGAAATGTGACATGAAGATATAGTTAGGATTTGTTATTTATATTGTTTAATCATATCTTAAGACGACATGATATTAATTAAACTTCTTTTTCATGTTTTCGATTTTGAGATAATATCAAAATAATGACATGTTTAGTTAGTTATATATGTGATATTCTCTTCTAAACTTCATGTTATTTAACTGATTATTTACAATAAAACTCAATTATTTTGATTAAACACTTTTTATATATAGTTATTGTATATGCCAAATAAAGAGTGTCACAACTACATGACACAAATGATGTGTCCTATAAAAATAATATTAAAAAATTATTAAAAGTAAAGGATAAGAATTGAACTCTACCCCATTTCTACAATAATATTACTTAACCACTATACTGATATACAAATGGAAGTTAATATATATATATATATATATATATATATATATAT